GTCCGATGATGTTTGAGGACTTGATGGTATAAGGCCATTGAGGAGAAAACTAATTTTTTTTACGGGTGGTTTAGAAAAATGAATATTAATAGTTGCATTTGTCTTGAGAAAGAAGAGAGATCAATTTTATCAGTTTAAAGTGCCAAGGATTGTATTCGTTCCGACGTTTAGAAGGTGAAGCTTGTAACGATTGACCTGCTGAATTCGTCTTAAAATGAGTTATTCCGTCCTTTTCTTGAGCTGAAAATCCAACTAGGAATAAATTAAAGTATAAATGAATAGTATTCTGAAGACAAATAGAGAATCGAATTAGCGTATATATAATATACACTGGTGAGCCATTCAAAACCGTTTGCCGTGCGACGCGTCTTAAAATTCCCTTTTGTTTCATCTTTGATAATCTTATCAATATTTTTCTGTTATCATTTATGTTGCCACAAATATATCAGCTAGCGTGCTCGAGAAAGATGGTGGAATCACTTGTCGCAGCACAGAAAAATAGAGCTAGCCGCATATTATAACTACTTTTTTCTAGCACCTTACCCAGCATGTAAACTCTTCCGAGTTTCATAGCCGACCCGCATTAATGTGACTTTAGAATCAACTCACTTATTGAAGGTTTTGATTGATTCGTTCTCACCAGTCTTAGAAGCATACTCCTGGTATATTCTTTACACATGAGGATGTAGAGATATATCATAGTGGATAGTGACTTGGTGCGCTTCGACTAGGTGGCTTGCAGTAAGCATTGATTCAGCCACACCTTGTGTCACCACTCCAGCACTGCAAACTTCTTCCAGTCATCCAGAGCCAGATAGATAGATAGATAGATAGATAGATAGATAGATAGATAACTTTCTATCTATCTATCTGCTTTTTTGCCAGTGAGCCACTTGCCGAGCATATTCCAGGACGCCATCTTCACGTGAAGCCCGCCAAGTATAAAAAGCTATCTTCTTCATACGCACCAATAAGCCTGCACTCAATTTCCTTTGCCAAGGTAAACAGCGGCTGGTCCACAGCGATAACTGGAGTTTGAGAGGGAGTAAAATGCATGGCAGCAGCTCTGTTTACTCTTATGAAATGCGCACGGGGGGAAGGGGGCCCTCCCCCCCAAAATTTTATCGGCCCTTCGGGCCTCAGTTTGGTCCAAAAATAAGGGGGGCCCTCCCCTGAATGCGCCACTGGAAAACAGTTTCTTCAGGTGTTTCTTGGTATTCTCAAGCCAGTCTCTCTTTTGAGTAAAAGATATCAACTGTCCGGCATAGAACTCACCTATGACTAGTATCAGAGGTGGCACCTTGCGGTATATTAAAGGCAGTTGTGCAATTTTTTTTTACCTACTTCTTTCCATGATCATAGGTATCAATTTTCCTGTCGTTTTAAGGATTCACGTTAGTTTGAGAAATTGCCGTTTATAGCGGAGAGAGTCCTTCGAAGTGTGGCAACAAAACCCAACGTTAACGCTACCGACTGAAAAAATTTATGTTGTAAATTCATTTATGTTGCCACAAATATATCAGCTAGCGTGCTCGAGAAAGATGGTGGAATCACTTGTCGCAGCACAGAAAAATAGAGCTAGCCGCATATTATAACTATTTTTTTTCTAGCACCTTACCCAGCATGTAAACTCTTCCGAGTTTCATAGCCGGCCCGCATTAATGTGACTTTAGAATCAACTCAAAAAACGTTTACCACTTTAATAGACTTCCTACGACGTAAACTATCACTGACTTCAGGGTTTATAAACCCACGTCGTATATTTTGGCTCAAAGTATATCGCTCAGCGTTAGCTGTCTCAAGTAAGAAAATGGAATTTATTTATATATCTGTGACATAAAGTTAAGTTTTGGGTAAGTCTAAGCCCTTAGGGCTTTGCTCGAGAAATGACTGGAAAAAGATACATCCGATGGAAATTCTGCCTTTTCAAAATGACAGGTACTACAGACAAATCGTAATTTGTCTCATTTTTAACGGATTGTTAAATTTAGAATCATATCAGGCAAATAGTTTAATTTCCAGCCAGGTCAAGTTATTATATCCAGCTCACAATGTGGGTAATAATATTGAAAGAAACTTTTTAACCTGCGGGGAAATGAATCCATATACACTGTATTTAACAGTTGAATTAAGGGCCCCTTTATTTATTTAATTCGCATTTCTAATAAACTTTGCCTTCAACTATTGCACTTTTTTCTCACAATAAAAATGGTTCGCGTTTTTTAATAAACATGACGGTCTCGTCCTTCCCTTAAAAAAGAGAGGCTAGCTCCGAGTTAAACTAGAAATAAAATATTTCCCTAAATACCTGTCGGACAAAAAACAAATTCATATTCTAACATCATAAGGCCAATATTCAGGTACACTTAAAAATTTCTCTGAAAACAATCTAGGGTTAGTACCTGTCAATAGAATAACAAAAATTAAAGGACTTGCACTGCAATTCCTTGCTGAAATCAAGTTATTTCCTTAATAAAAGGCTTTTATTTTTTACCACACTTCATATTTTTTTCGGGTGCGGCGTGTTTCTTGTTTTCAAACTGTTTCGCAGATGCATCGTCGCTGGAGCGCGAGTCAGCATGCTTTGTTCATTCTGTACAGGGGATACAGCACTGTTGCGCTTAACCACTGCCCACACAGCTAGCTTGACTTCTCTTATCCGCCAACAATATATCAAGGGATTCAGTGAGCTGTTGATACATACTACAGTCGAAAAAATGTCAATCGCAACTTTTACTTTAGCTGTAAAGCCATACTTAAGTTTGGCGACCATGACACCAGAGTACGGCACGTAACACACGAAGGAGAGCATGAACACTATAACCATTGTAAAAGTAGATCGCTGATATTTCTTCATATTCAACTCAACTTGAGCTTTGGGATCGACCCATACTCTTCGTTGTAAATCTATTTCACGTTCATGTCGTCTGACGATTTTATAAATCTTGATATACGACACAGAGGTTATTACGATGGATGCTAACTCGGAAGTAATCACTATTGCACCGAAAACATTTTTTTGCAGGAAATAAACAGAAGTCACAACGAATGCTAACACCCAGAAAACGCCAGCGGTTATGAGAATGCGCTTTTTTGTTATAACCTCGTTATATCGAAGGTGAAAGTACAGCGCCAAAAATCGTTCAATCGCAATCCCCCCCTTACCAAATCCAACACTGTTTTGAATGTATTTTTAAGCTATTTTTGAAAACTGTTTTTAACCTGTTTTGTGAAATAGGTTTTAAATAGGGTGAAAAGTGTATTTTTAATGTATTTTTCGACTGCTTTTAAAGGTGTTTTAACCTGTTTAAAACGCTATTAAAAAAGAATTTTTAATGTATTTTTAAATTCGTTTAAAATATATAAAAAATTCCAGGGCTTTTGCAAGGCTCAAAACAGGTCTAAAATAGTTTTTAAATATCTTATAAATCGGAATAAAAACAGGATAAAAACAGTTTCAGAAACATATTTTAATTTGCTATATTATTTTAAAACTATTTTTAATGGCAATTTTAAACGTATTTTGAAAAAAAACAGGTTTAAAATAGGTCCAAAAATATATTTTTAATATATTTTTCGACTGATTTTAAAGGTGTTTTAACCTGTTTAAAACGCTATTAAAAATGTTATGCTTCAAAATATATTTTAATAGCTTTTTAATGGGTTTCGAAATGTAGTAAAATAATCGTATTTGCAAATACAATAAAAATACTTTGAAAATAGTAGTAAAATACCACAGAGGAAGAAAAGCAATAGCACGCGTATATTGTGAAAATACATCAAAAATAGGATGCAAAAATGCAAAAACAGTATAAAATTGTAAGAAAATAGCCTTAGAGTTGTCTGAAAACAGTACAAAAATCGGTCGAAAGAGCATAAAAACAGTACAAAAACAGGATGAAAATACCATTTAAATTCATGAAATAAAATGAATACAAAACCGTCGAAAATTACTCTGAAAAAGCAAGATTTACTTCTGCGAAATTTCTCCACACAGTCCTACGCTAGCATTTCACCGGAATTATCTCTTAGCTGATTACTTTACGTTGATTTCCCTACGAATTCTCGGGAAATTCTTATGGAATTTTTCAGAAATGCTGAAATCAATCTTTAGCCTGTGTACAAACCCCCTCCCCTCAATAAAAATCGGAGGGGAAGGGAGTCGGTACACAGGCTATCAATCTTCCGCTTCAAAAGAGTATTGCGTTACGTTACCGGTAAATAATAATCTATATACATGTAACTTACATTTTTTATTATATTCACGGCTTTACTCAATTATTATCAGAAGCTTGCAGGCTACGCCTGAACGTTTAATTATTGGCTGATAAAGAACAACATAAGAATAACATCATCAAATTTACACGAGCATGAAAGAGGTCGGTGACGTGACATCAAGTGACTGAGAACAGCGAGGCTGAGCATGGAACGCTGTAAAAACTAAAATTGCCGTACAGGCGGGAGTATATAAATGTTTACTACCCTTCATTTGTCTCTCATATGGCGTATACTTAAGCGTCTTAGTAACATGTTATGCATATATTGTGTATAATACTCACATAACAGAAGACTCTTGGATTAACACACAAGACAGCACAAGACCGCGTGCTTCGGAGAAACTGAACCAGATCCTTTCAAAGTACATAACAGTCGCTGAGGAGTCATACCCATTTTTGATCCTTGATAAATGCAACATCTACGTGTTCAGACAATCCGCAGAGTTGAAATGTATACTTTTGTAAGATCGTAACAAACAGTAAAATCAAGCGCACCCGCCATCACAGCAACCGCCGCTAGAATAATTTGAAATGAGCAAAGGACAAAGGACGGTTTGTTTATCACGTGCATTTGTCACATCACCGCGGCGCGAAGTCGTGATTTCAGTCGCGCGTGACATCTTAGAAATAATATGCCATGCATGTGCGGAATAATCTATGAGTGAAAGATAACCATATGTCGGAGTTTATTCATATCTGAGCTTTGTTTCTTGATGCAATATATGTGAGGTGAGATCTTAGCTTGGATAATTTATTTATTATCTAATTTCAAGGGCTTATTTTAGATAAACCTCTGTTGACCGCGTGCATCCGGTTCTCGGCCCGCGGCTTCGGCTGTTTGTGACAAAATTTCTATATGAAATTAAAATGCGATTTTAAGAAGTTTCTTTTAAAAAACTTATGGAAAGTCCCTTAACTGCATTAATTGAATCACGGCTAAAATCTACGCGGAGATTTTCGCAGAGAGCTTGCTGGTAATGAACAGTGAGGAACGGATAGATCTTTTATCGGAACACTGTCACAGTTACGTGTTGTCAGTCAAAGCTAAAACCTATTCCTAATTTTCTTCTCTTTTTTTATTTAATTTAGATTTAATTAATTAATTAATTTAATTTAATTTAGAACTTTGTTGGGAGAAGAATCCGGTCCACAGTATGTGACAGCTTGTTTTGAGTCATTTATGAGTTCGTGACACGATGAAGGCTTAAAAATTAACTTTGTGCAATTGTTACTTTTATTTATAGTCTGAGTATAAGTCTCCCAAAAGACATTACAGTATTGCACCCTAGTAATAATAAGTTATAAGTACACTACTTTAAAGTATTTACAATAAGGTAAGCATTTGATGACTTTAAGCAGACTTCAAATAGTTTATGGATACCGTAATGTGTTTTTATAGTCAGAGTGCTGTGTGCCCAAAATACAATTCAAATAGACCTCAAAACAGTGTTTAAGTACCCTATTTAAAAGTATTTAAAATGCGGTCAGTTCTTAAGGTTTTAAAACATATTTCAAATAGTCTATTTGAACTCTGTTTGTAACTTTGTCAGTGGATGCGTCTCAAAATACATTTTAGATACAACTCAAAACAGTGTTAAAGTACCCTATTTAAAAGGATTTAAAATACGGTCAGCATTTAGGCTCTTAAAACATATTTCAAATAGTCTATTTGAACTATGTTTATAACTTTGTCAGTGGATGCGTCTCAAAATACATTTTAGATACAACTCAAAACAGAGTTAAAGTACCCTATTTAAAAGGATGTTAATTACAGTCAGCATAAAAGCCCTTAAAACATATTTCAAATAGTCTATTTGAACTCTGTTTGTAACAGTGTTAGTGGTTCCATGCCCAAAATACATTTTAAATACTCTATTTTAATCATATTTATTAAACAAAATACATTGTAAATTGATGAGAGAGGTTTTCCTTTACATGAAATACAATTTAACTACACTCAAAAGATATATTTCAAACAGGGGCGAAAATTTAAATTCTTTTGTCAAATAGTATTAAAATACAGGAAAATAGTGTTCAAATACTGAAAATACATTTTAAATACTTTAAAATCAGTTTCAAAATACATATGGTTTGGTAAGGGCCGTCAACGTGAGTAATGAAACAGCCGTTGTGGCGTAACCAAAAGATATGTTAACAAATCGTGCGTAACATGCCAAGTCGCCGGTTCCGGAAATCTCTGCAAGTTTATGGCCGACGAAACTCGTTTGAACTATCAGGCCGACTTGAAGATCAGCAAAGGCAAGGGTGGATAGAAGGATGTTAGAAGGGTAAAGCTTCAGCTGCGTTTTCCATATTGCAAACAGAACTAGTAGATTGCCAGTAATTGCTGATAAGGCAAAGCAGGCGTTGAAAATACAGGTTATTACATTGGAAACGTACACAAGTCGAGTTTCCTCCATGCTAAAATCCATGACCTTCACAAAAATACATGTTCCTTGATGGTAGTTTTCCCCCATTTTGAACAAAACGTGAGTTTTGCACAACGGCAAATCGATCAGCAAAAACGTACTGCCAGGCAGTTATAATAGGTGAACCCTAGCTTTTCATCAATACAAGACTACTGGTGGTCTCTTTTGCAGCTCATTGAAAATAAGTTGCTTTACATTGATTGATTTAGACTTCCCCCGTTTTAGATTGTGGAAATAACGAGTACTGAACTCATCACACCTGCTTTCAGAAAATTCAACCGTGGGCGTGTTTCACCTAGAGTTCCACCGTCATCAAATATCATATCAAGCCTCTCTGGCGTAGCCACCCTTTTAATGCAGCTACATAAGTTTAAATATTCACGGCCCTTTAAATAAGGTGATCAAAACTGACAAGATTCATTACATATTTTTCACATTAAGCCTCCACGTCGGTCATCTAGTTTACACAGACGTCCTGCGCAGTATTAAGGCAAACATGGAAACCAAACAAGTCCAATGAATGGTTTGGTGACGTTTTTTCGGAAAGCACCAGCTGCAGACAATAGAAAATACAACAAAGGTGATATTTTGTTCATTTCTCTTTGCACGCATGCAAAAAGAAACCCATTATAAGGATTAAGATTTAATAGCTGGGCTTTTGCCAGGTTTAGAACAGTAAAATATTTTTTATTTCATCTGCTAAAAAATCTACAATACCAAGTTGAATTATCAGTACAAATCTCTTAAACAAGTCGTGTAATTTGGCTTTTCATGTAAGTTAATTTCGGAAACGCGCTTAACATTAACGTATTCAAACAAATGGAAAAATACCGCGTTGAAATGTTCCACCATTTAATATTAATAAAGGAACGAATACTGGGAACTAATAAGGTCACACCGATTTTCACAGACAGGGAGAAAGTCCGCCCAATATGTTTTGCCAAGGAGTGTGGGGGACAAAGCTTAACTAAGTTGTAAAACTGAGTATGATTTACTCTTCAAAATAAACGAGATCAAACGATGTTAGAGTTGAATTTAATTAAAAATGAAGGCAAACTATTGACAATTAATAATGGTGAAACATTTTATCAACTAACAAAATATTGTAAAAAAAAAAATGCATAAAAAGAGCTTATTACAATAAAAATAGGCTCTTGAAAACGAAAACAGAACCTAAAAAAAAAAAACCTGAACACTAATTAAATCTCAGAAGTGAAGGAATATAAATTGTCTTTTATTCTTGATGGCAGTTCCTACAGTCATGAACTTAACAAAAATGAAATAAACGGCTGAAGCTGTCGTGATCACCAGAGTACTCGCAGAAATTGATGGAAATTACTTTCACATCGATTTGTTGCTATTTGATAGTTTTATCTCAAATCTGCTCAATGACAATGACTAAGCACAGGTTTCTTTATATATTTGCAACGACTTTCCGTTTCTTTAATAAATCCCTTGAAGAAGAACGGCTTGACCGTTCGAAATATGGGCAATACTCAAGTCGCTTTGTTCTGTGCTGTTTTGTTATTACAGTTTATTTTTCTTTGTTACACTCAACAGGCTCTGTTTTTTTATTTCTTGTTTATGTTAAACAGCAACGAAAATCCCCAGTACTACTTCAGGTGCAAATCCCGAACCCAGTAACCTTGTCCCCAATGAAAATCCGGCTGCCTTGCATGTAATAGTCTCAGTCTTCAGTAGTGAGCGTCTCGATGCCCCTGCGATTCACCCCGCCCGAATGCTGGGCGCCTGGGTGACCTCCTACAAGGGAGTTTGACTTCGTAATGGAGTAGTGATTGCGAAGAAATGTACCAAAAGGTATGCTGCACGAACGTGCAGAGAAGTTGGTTTGCTCATTTAGGCCCTGTCATCGAAAACGCATCGATTGATTCGCGTCCACACTACCGTTTTGATACGTTTTGGACTGTCCACACTAAAACGTTCGAAAACGATAGAATTGCGCGTTGTGACGTACGTTGAACTCTATGCGCATGCCACAAAACACACGCGTCTGCGATCTGCGTTTTCGACCATCAGGTCGACTGTCACACAATAATACGATATGTATGTGTTTTCCTTTTGATCCACTTTCAAGAGAGTTTTCAAATCGATGCGTTTTCGATGAAAACGCCGCCCATTAGTGTGGTTGGAAGGCCTAAACGCATCGAAATGTATGCGATTTCAAACGAAAACGCATTAGTGTGGACGGGGCCTAAACCTATTGCTCTTTTGCTGTTTCTCGTTGCCGGTGCCGTTCGTTAAAGTGACGAAGGTTTTTACTTAAATATAAAGTTAAAACATAACTTAGCCCGATTGATGTCTTTTGTGATTGAGTTCTACCCCTTGTCTTGGGTTGAAGCAAGAGGAAGAACAAAATAAAAATAACGGAAATTTTGTGACTCAGGAGAATGAAATATTTAATGCCCTATTCAAGGAGGGGCAAGGAGATGGAATAGAGCTTGTTGACCGGACTAAATATTTTTTGAACTGAATCCTAATTTTTAAGGTTTTTGTCTCGGTTATTTTCATATTTGGTGCAAAAGATCTTGTGTACCCAACAGCACAATGCCTTTATCTATTTTACGAAGCATGTGGAGCCTTGGTTTCTTGGTACAAAGAGAGCAAGTCCACGAAGTTGAGAATGATCCTTATGTGGTAGCTAAAATCAACCGAGCGAAAACTAGTAAAGGACCCAGGAATAGCAGATGCTTATCAGAAGGTCGTCGAAGAATATCTGGAGAAGTATTGCCAAATGAACATGCATAAACCTCAGAATGGTTGCTTCCCCACTTTCCTGTTCTGCGACCTGACAGGTATACGACGAAGACAAGAATTGTCTTTTATGCCCCGGCTGAATTTCGGGGGAAGAGTTAAAACAGCCAAGCATTGCCTGGACCAAAATTGCAGACAGACGAGTTAAGTATTCTTGTCAGATTTCTGAAGAAATTGGTCGCCCTTGTAGGTGACGTAAGTCAGATGTACCATCAGCTTGCTTTAACCCCTGAAGACAGAAAACCACGAAGATGTTTGTGGAGGGATTTAGATCAGAGTAAGGAGCCAGACGTTTGAGAATTCTTGAGATATGTGTTTGGGGGGGGTTGTTACTGACCATTCTGTGCGCAGTATGCATGGCAGAAGCATGCAGATGACCACAAAGCAGGGTACTCTCTCTCAGCTGAAGCGGTAAAGAAGGGTTGTTACCTGGACGACCTCATGCCTTCAGTGGCGTTGAAATAGCAAAGGAGGTGCGAAGACAGTTAACCGGACTTGGAATTAAAGATGTTTTTCACATTCGCAAACGGATATCTCAGAAAACTGAAGTGATCGAGGACATTCCTCAACAGACAAGTTGATCTGGAGAAGAAAGAGTTTCTGGTCACAAAGACTTTGGGGATAGTGTAGATTGCTGAAGACAAGTTTTCGTTTTGGTTCAGCCAACCACTAGAGTACATTCCAAGTAAACTTAACCTTGTTTAAAAAGGAACCAGGGGAGTATGAGTTCAAGAGTTAATAAATCACGGACGACTTCTGGTGACATTAAACCAAATTTCTACGCAAAGGTGAAGAGGAGTTGCCAGAAAGTAAGTCTGGAAAAGCCCGAGAATCTCAAAAGGAAGTTTTATCAGAGAAAAGAGGACGGAATCTGGAGGAGGAGAACATTAACAAGAATGCTCACAGTTACTACGCAGACACTCCTGGGCGTAAATCGAAGAGTCACCCAGACCCAAACAAGTACTCATGATCAAAGGTACAGGATCCAGTCAAAGGGAAGACGACACAATGTTTTCCAGAAGAAATTAGAGTACTTGAAGACAAACAGCGCCTTCCCAGCAAGGGTGAGTCACTAAAGATTGCGCCGAAGCGTGATGGAGGACTACTTCGATCGAACACGCGATTGAGTGATTAAGATGATTTGCCAGAAGAGACAAAGTTTCCAATCATCCTTCCAAAGAAGCATGTTGTTACCAGATAAACTGCGAAGTGCGTATCAACATGAAGTAGAACGTCATGAAATGGGAGCGAACTTTACTTTGAACCATCTACGCTAGGAATACTATGTGATTCAAGGGAGACAGCTAGTGAAGAAATGTATCAAGTGTAGATTGTGACAGGCGATTCAGAGGTGGTTCAGCCCAAAGGGCACAATTACACAGAGTTCGGTCGGAAATGACGCAAAAACCATTTGCAAATTGTGCAGATTTCGCAGGTCCATTTTACACAATTCTAGGAAGAGTTAGAGCAAGAGTAATGCGCTATCTCGGCCTGTTTGTGTATTTACAGACACGCTGTTGTCAGTTGGAAATGACAACACCACTGGAAACTATTACGTTCTTGAATGCGATGACACAAATGGTTGCCTGACGAGGATGTCCTAAAATGATTCTCGCTGAACACGGAAACAATTTCGTTTGAGTAGCACGTAAGATTAAGGAAAGGGCGATAAATATGGATCAAGAGAAAATTAATAGACTGACTTCCAACCAGGGAATCAGTTAGCGTTCATTCCACCAGGAGTACCACTCTTTGGTGGGGTTTTCTAAAGCATCATAAAGTCACCCAAGAGAGCAATGTACGCAGCTCTAAGCCAAGCTAACGTTAGCACTGACGCGAAGTTACAAACAGGGTATACGGGAGTCGAGAGTTTGTTGAATTCCAGACCCTTAACGACAGTCAGTGGGGATGTCAATGATGAACCTGTGTTGAGCCCAAACCATTTCTTAATCGATCAAATGGGTGGTAAGCTACCTCCAGAGACAGCTGACACAAAAGCAATCCCTGTTCGCAAATAATGGAGATGAGTGCTGGAGCTAATTCTCAAGGTATGGAATCGCTTGATACGGAAGTATTTACCTACACTGAATCGGATCCCGTCACAAATGGTTTCGACCAACAGATAATCTCGAAGAAGATGTTGTCTTAGTGTTTGAGCCAGACACACCAAGGCGAGATTGGAAGGTCGGACGCACTGAGGCGGTGTATCCAGGACAGGACTAGTCACAGTAGTAAACGTGAGGACTAGTATGAAGTTCAGCCCGATTACGAGACTCTCACCATTGGAAGCTGAAACTCCAAATGAGCACACTTGTGACTAGTCAGTTATGCTTTTGCTTCTCAAAGACTATGAAAAGTCTTTTTGGAACACTTAAATTGCGTTCTTTCAATCTGTTTCTGTTTTATTTAACTAGCGTTGTATTTTCAATGTACTGGAAATGAAGGAGCGGAAAATGTTCAGGATTATTTTTATTTACCATTTGAATAAAGAGACAGAGCAAAATCGCACGGGAAGTTAATTAAGTCTGCGAGTATGGCTGATGGCAGCATAACGGTTTGGCATTAGCGAAACAACTTTGCAAAGTTTCCATTACAATGAACTTATGTTTTTCTTTGGAACTGAAGATTACGACAAACTATTCAATCCTAGTTTCAAAGAGACCTCTTTTTAGTAGTTTTTTCTTTCTTTTTGTGGGTTCAAGAGCTTTGATTTTAGTTCAGAGAAGGCCGCCATATTCCAAGCAGAGAGGCAATTAATTAGTTATTGCCAACGAGGCAACCGAGCTAAGAAGCGAGGTTGCCTCAACGGCAGATTCATAATCCCGCGCAATGTAGGCAAAACTCTCAAATTCTCCGTAGCCCTCTAAAATTTGCAGTTTTGACCATATTTTGATGTAAGTAAGACCCCATATTTGGGCACTGAGGTCATGATCTTGTATTTACAACTCGTGGTTCGAAATTGGGTCCCGCGTGCAGATGTTCGTGTTCTGTTCAAGAGGCCTAACAGGTGAGCAAGCTTTAAATGGATTTCTAGTTTGAAAGGGCTATTAGTGCTCGGGTTTGCTTTACAAATTCCGTTTAAAGCAGCAGCTATCAAGGCGGGATAGGCTTTTACGTTCCAATTTTTGTCAAATCCAGCTTGTTCCTCGCAGCTCGATTTCTCCTAGTTGAGGTACATGTTCGCTTCTCGACTCAGAACCAGGGTTCTCAGTATTATCCTTACCTTTGTAAATTGAATTCTATGCGGTAGTTAGTCGAGCAATAGGGTTGTATTCTCAAAATTAAAAGTACATTAGATTACCAGCGTGTCCTTCCCAATTCGATTTACATTGAGCCGGTCCTCTCCTCCCGTGAGAAATGCAACGCATTTGACGACCTTTTGTTTTTTAGAAGTATTTTTAATTTGCCTTCGGAGAAATTTTTGTCAACCAGCGTGTTCTTTTGCAGCCCTTAACTAGCATGAGAAATGCAACGAATTTGCAGACCTTTTGTTTAAATGACCATCATTATGAATCAATTTTCCTTTCGAGAGACTCTTTGTCCTGTGCTACTCGCTCATTATATATTTGTATTTCATTTAAGTTTATATTTTTTTTACCTCCGGATACATTCTGCCCCATTCTTGCGCTTTTCACACATTTTGCTTACTCCCATTTTTTCATATGTATATTACAATGCGGAATATTTTTCTTATCCCTGATGATGCCGTTGATTGGCGAAACCTCGGAATTTAATTTTAATTTTCAATTTTAGTAGTCAAAGGCTTCACTTGAACTATATTTTACTTTCCAACGTTTATAGTTTTGATTTCCATAAAATATAGGTGCTAACTTGCACCAATTTACCAACAAAGACAACAACGCTCAAAGCCATGTTGTTATTTTTTAATGGAAGTGAAAGCCTAGAATGCACCAAAGTGTTTTTTCTAAAGTTGAGTGCCATCCTTTTCTATAGCGAAATCCATTGTAAACCTGCAAAATCCTCTAACAAATCGCGAAGATCGATCTGGATAGGCACATTCCTCAAAAGACAAACGAATTCGCTTCGTTGGCACTTGCCGGAAGGTAAGTTCTAAGATTTTTAAACTAGGGACCTACGAGGGACTGACACTAACCGGCGATAGACTAGCTTAGAAGTAGCGAGCGCAAGAAAGAACGAGCGCGCGAGGCTAGCGATAGACCATTACAGATACAGCAGAACCCAGGTAACTCGAACTCTGAAGCTGGAAACGAAAAACAGTTCGAGTTAGCGGGGAATTCGGATCATCGGGGTAAATTTCAGTGAAATTTTGATCAAGGGAAAGGAATTATAGTTCGAGTTAGCGGGGCATTCGAGTTATCCGAGTTCGAGTTATCGAGGTTCTACTGTATCGACACTAGGCCAATATTATTTACATCATGATAACATTTTTCATTTTTCAGATTTTTATGACGAACACATTTTTTTAACAAATATCTAAATCCGCACTTTTACTTGTATCACCACTGTACTAAGGACGAAACCTTAACAAACCACCTCCTTTTCCCCTCCTTTCTTGGAAGATTAGAGCAAACTGAACTAGGACTCTCTCCTCCGCAGAGGCTCCCGTTGGGTATCCCTATATAAATAGCAATAATCGAAAAAATAGAAAGCGCGCCGAGGACGATGGGAAGAGGAAAAAGGCGGGAGCCTCTCTTCTCTCATCCCCCTTCCCGTCGTGCCCCGCGCGCTGTCTTTTTCTTTCTCCCCAGCTTCCCCACAACACAAAGAGGCCTCTACGCAGGAGACTGAGATGAACTGGGATATATTTCTGGCATAAGTGAGATGGAAGACTTGGAAAACAAAAAGGAGCTTTGTTGCAACTTGGAGAAATGACTTATCTATATCGTTGTAACTGCAGCGTTTTAGCGATCATACGCAATAACGCTCATGGTCTCTATGCTTTTCAATTCAATTCAATTCAGTTCAATTTTATTATTCACACTTTATAAAATATTTACATTATATTTAGTAAGGTAGGAATACACTAATAAAGGAGAAGAAGAAGGAAAAAAAAGAAAATTAATGGCTTAAGTAGAAGTGTACGGTGGTCAGAGGAGCTTAGCTTTCGAGCTAACCACCGCTACATGATGATTGGAAATACATAATAAACGTACGCTTGGTGCCATGGCAACTATGGACGATTATGCTAGCAGTCAGGTTATGTGAGACAGTCATATTACAATTGTTACCTTTGAGAGTTAACTACAATTCGCTTATATTCTTTTTTGAACTTATGGTAGCTAAGTGTTTTTATCTTAGTGGGAATCTCTTCCCAAGGTTTGGTTATGGCAAACTTAAATGTGTGTTTGCCGTAATTTGACCTTACACGTGGTACATGAAAGTTAAGATTTGAGGCATATCTGGTATTGTGTGAGTGAATATCAGACACCTTGACGAGGAAGTTTTGAAACACTTCAGTGATATTGGCTTCATTTTGTGAGATTTTGTGAGCTAGTAAGGAGATTTTGAGTTTAAAAATGCTATATCTATGTTAAGTATATCTAGAAGTTTGAGGTAGGGTGCACTACTTTCTCTATTATAGCTAAAAAACATGCAGCGTATACATTTATTTTTTTTTGTTTGAACTTTAGTTAATCTACTTGGGTATGTGTTTCCCCAACTCATAATTCCATAATGAAGGTAGGGGTAGATAAGTGAGTAATATATTTGTTTGAGGGTGTTTAAAGTTAAGAAATGGCGTAATCTGAAAAGGATTTCCAAGTTTTTAGATATTTTGCTGTTTATGTGCTGAAAGTGGGGAGCCCAACTTAGATTTTTGTCAGCGTAGATACCTAGGTATTTGCTGTAGTTCTTTTCTTCAATGTTGCGTAAATTAAGCTTAAGTTTATTTGCTTTTTAGGGGGAGGAGATTGTCATATAGTGGGTTTTCTTAAAGTTTACAGAAAATTTTTGTTAGCTAAGCAGTAGCTAAGAAGATGGTTGAATTCCTCATTTATAGTTTTTTCAAGGTCCTGTAGAGAATTGGAAGAGTAGAGGAGATTGGTGTCATCTGCAAATGTTCTAATATTTGCCTTTTCTAAACATTTGGGCATGTCATTGATATATGTCAAAAACAGAAGTGGGCCAAGGGTAGAACCTTGTGGTACACCACATTGGATAGAAAGTGGGTTTGATTTAACATTTTCAATTTCAGCATACTGTGTTCTGCTTTCAAGATAGCTTTTAAATCACTACAGAGGGACACCACGGATCCCGTAGGTCAAGAAAAATACTGCATATAGCTTCATTGCTGTCAATTTTCATTTTAAGATTGTCAGTGAGTTCAAGAATTGCTTGGTCAGTAAAATAATTTTTCTTGAAGCCAAATTGGTGTTTAAAAAGAATGTTTTCCTTTTCTAGGAGATGACTTGGCTGATTGTACACTAGTCTTTCAAGGATTTTAGCAAACGGAGAGAGGAAAGCAATGGGACGGTAATTGGCAGGGTCTGTCACTGCACCAGTCTAGAAGACTGGAGTAACCTTTGAGATCTTGAAAATATCCGGGACAATACATGATTCAATTGATTCATTAAATAAGTTTGTGAGGGGAGTTGAAAGCAGATTGCTGTCAATCTTGATTAGATAGTTAGGGATATCTATAGTGGCTTTGTGCCTAACAAGGCCAGATAGTGCTAACTTAACTCAACTTGCGCTTAATCCACCGGGGAAAGAAAAAAATAGAACTATGAGTTGCTGGGAGGAAAGCATCAGCTTTTATACTTGAGTGAATTGTAGATGCCAAATTTGGACCAATATTTATAAAGTACTCATTGAACTGATTGACAATGTCATGTTTGTCGGTGTAGGTTTTTCCATTGTAGTGTAACTTTGCTGGTACAGTGTGTCATTTAGGTTTCCTGTTTATAATGGTGCCAATTAACTTCCATGTACTTTTTAGGTTGTTCTTATTTAGTTCAAATTGCTGCTTATCGTAGGATGACTTACAGGTCCATTTCAGCTTATTCAGAGTGTTTGAGTATTTTTTGTGGTAAGCTACCTTGTCTAGATCTTTAGAAAGAAAGTGCGTGCGATACATTTTCTGCTTGTTTCTTATAGAACTTAATAAGGTATCTGTTATCCAGGGTTTCTGAATCTTTTGTTTTATACGGCTGCAGGGTATGTGTTTAATTAGCGCATGTTTATTGACTATGCCTTTAAGTTTTTCGACAAAGCTGCTGGCTTTAGTGTGGATGTTGGCTGGGTCATTGGATAAAGACTTACTTGGATAAAAGACTTGATGCTTGGATTGGTTTAAGGGACTGACGAGGTTTTGTAGTTGAGATATAAAATTATCAACATTAGACGAGGGGTGCCTGTATGTACATCCCACAATTATGCTAGGCTTGTGTTCCTGTAAGATTTCAGTCCAGCAGGATTCCGCCTCAACAGAATTAAAGCTTAAATCTGACCTATGAATTGCATTTAGGGAGGATGAGATGTAAATACCAACACCACCATAAAAGGTCGTGTAAGAGCTCGATGTTTTCTGGTAGACTTCTAATATTACAATGAAAGAGAAAAATGGAATCGTTATCTATGTCAGCTTAAAGGTTATTAGCATCAGTTATGGAATAGTACTCAGAGCTAGGAGTTGACAACATTAAATCGGGCCAGATTCTTCGAACTTGTCAGGATTTGGAAGGATATTGTACAAATCAACACCAGAGTTGATGAAGTCATTGACATTACCAGAACCGAGTACAAATCTAAATTCTCTTTCATCTAAAACATTAAATAGGAGTATCCAAACATTTGAAGAAGCCATTATTTAATAACTACTAAGTTGTTTACAAAGAGGACTAACCAGATGTGAAAGTTTCATTGTGATGGAGCAATGAAGTCTTCGAATTCTTGAAATGTTGTAAATGTAAGTGTCTGTGAGGTTTCATGTTTACGTAGATAGATCTTACCATTATTCGTCCTGTCGAAAGCAGAAAGATTTAATAAGATCTAGGAACATTTAAGATTGCAAACTTTCTAAGTTTAGGAAATGATGTAATG